TTGTGTTAGTTGTCTCACAAGAAATTGCGTTTCATGTGACTTGAATATATGTACAACATGCACCAACGGGTATTATCTCAACAATGGAGTTTGTGAGAAGTGTTCAACAATTGATGAGAAGTGCACAACATGTAGTTCTACTGACATCTCACCACATTGTGATTCATGTGAAAATGGGTATTGGGTTGAAGAAAACAAGTGTGTGACATGCGAAGGGTGTGGCTCACTTGGGTGTGAGTATATGAGTGGACTCTGTTATAACTGCCCAAATCAGATTCAAGTTTTGATGTTGGGGAAATGTGTTACTGTAGAAGGATGCAAAGTTGTAGAAAACAACGAATGTGTTGTTTGTGATGATTTGTATGTTAAAATAGGAAAAAGTTGCATTAAGACGCAAACGGAGACAACTGAAAATGTGATCAAATTCAGAAAGTTCTATGTCAGTTCTATTGACGTCAATTGCACTACTTTTACAACCAAGGGATGTGATATTTGTGAAGAAGGATATTACCACTATGAAAGTGTGTGTCTGAGATGTGAAGAAATCTATGACAATTGTGAAAATGTGGTGTTGTAACTTTGAACAACTTTAATCAAACGATCTGTTCTATTTGTAAACCGTCACATTATCCAGAAATATCATGTCACGAGTGCACGTTTATAAATGGGTGTTCTGAATGCATCAATTATCTCACAAACAACGAGACTTCAACAAAAGAGTGTACAAAGTGTATGGATATGTTTATCAACAACGCAGGAGAATGTGTGAAAATAGCGAAGTGCCTTCAAGGGGTCGGAGAGAGGTGCACATTATGTGAAAAGAATTACTTGGTGTCTGAAGGTCGATGCAAGCCATGTGGTGATGTTGTTATTGGTTGTAAGACAAGTACCAAAAATGAATGCACTTCTTGTATAGAAGGACATTATATTGACTCGAATAAACAATGCAGTAAATGTTTAGTAGATAATTGCTTTGTGTGTGCTCAAGATGGTACTTGTAATACTTGTGTAACTAACACAACGAAAAACACCGACTCAACTAAATGCTTTTCATGTTCCATTTTCAATGGGTGTACTTTGTGTGATAATACAACCCCTAATAAATGTTTGTTGTGTGCTCAAAATTATTTCAAAAAGAACTACTTGTGTGTGTCATGTTCAAGTCTCAATAAGTGTATCAGTTGCTCAGATGAACTCACGTGCCTGCATTGTGTCGATGGATATTATCCAGACGATGGAAAGTGCAAGTCATGTCTTGCCATAAATGGCTGTAAAACATGTTCGTCGACATCAAAGAAATGTCACGCATGCAAAGATGGGTATTACCTCGACAACGAGTGTAAATTGTGTGGTGATGTTTTCAGTAAATCTGCCACGTGTACAATGAAAAAAGTATTTTCTTGTCAGCCACACTACTTTTTGAAGAACAATCGATGTGTTGGGTGTGATGCACTGTTTGGTTGTTCAGAGTGTGAAAATGAAACGATGTGCACTAAATGCACTGATGGACTCAATTTGTACAACAATGGAACAACTCAAATGTGTTCTCAAGATTGTGACATTACAAAGTGTGTTAAATGTGATATTAATGGAATGTGTGAAATGTGTGAAGAGCCATACACTCTTGACAAAATGACCAACAAGTGCAATTTGTGCTTTGATGAACACCAAAATAGTGGAAAATGCTCAACAACAGAAAATACCATTGAAGTTTGTGAGTCAAAAAGATTTTATTTGGAAGATGGTGTGTGTCAAAAGTGTAACACTACATTGAGTGAGTGCCAGTTGTGCGACAATTCAACAACTTGTATATTGTGTTCCACTGGATTTGTGTTGGATGTAAATAACAAATGTGTTGCAAAAACAACTTCGATGAGTATTAAAAAAGCAACAAATTGCGAATCAAATCGACAGATATTGGATACTGAAGGTAATTGTGTTGACATTTTAGCAGATGAGTTCAAAGTGTCAGAAAGTTTCAGTATGAAGTGTTTTAATCTGTTTTATGGGTGTTATTCACGTGACTACAAACTCAATTCAACAATTGATGTTGACAATTTGGAGTGCTCTGCTTGTCAAAGTGGCATGGCGTTTGAGTCTCGAGAAACCAAGAAGTGTGTGACAACAACAAATTTGATAGACAGTGAGGGATATAAAATCGAGTGTACTACGGGATGTTCGACTTGTACAAATGGAACGAATTGCCAATACACAAAATCGTTTGAGTTCACAGCTCGTTCTGATGCAAAACTTTCATACGAGAACCACAAATACTGTCAGAAGTACCAAGAAGGGTTTGGGTGTGTGGAATGCTCCAACTCAATAAACTTAAATGGAATTTGTTCCAACATGGAACGAACACAAAAATGCTCGTTTTATTTAGAAAGTGACAACACTTATAAATGTGAAGGATACATCGAACCTTCACAGACTAAAACACGTGCTACATTAAAGACTGAGAATGTTGTATGTGAGGTGTTATCGAACGGACTGTGTATAAAATGTTATTCTAAATATTTTTTGAATAAAGAGTATCCGCCAAAATGTGAGTCCTGTAGTAACAATTGTCTGACTTGCACAACACCAACTACATGTCAAGTGTGTTCGAATGGGTTTTCTCTGGTAAATGGAAGTTGTGTTTCACTATCAAATTGTTTAGTATCAACACCAAGTGGATGTACTGTGTGTAATGAAGGGTATTACCTATTACTTGGTTCATGTAAAATGTTAAGTGAAATTCATTGCAAATCTATTGTAATTACAATAAACAATGAGGTGCAGTGTACATTATGTGTAGAGAACTACATTTTGAGTGAGACGCAATGTGTTGATATGTCTACTGCGCATTGCCAAAGTGTCGACTTATCAACTTCAAAATGTGCAATTTGCGAAGAGAAGTACAAATTTGATGATAACAAAAATGTGTTTCAATGGAAACGACGCAATGCTCATATTCATCATCAGGCGATTGCCTCCAGTGTGATTCACAAATCTCACTTGGAACGTCCAATGAAGGTGAATCAATTTGTAACACTGAAATAAAGACAATTTATTGCAAAAAAATAGCAACACGGGGTGTGCCAAGTGCTATGATGGGCATTATCTGAGTGGCACTGAATGTCTTCCATGTGATAAGAAGTACTCAATTGTTCTAAAAATGCAGGAAGTTGTGTTACATGTGCTTTTGGGTATTATTTTGACACGACAAGTAACGACTGTATTTATGTTGGTGAACTTGCTGAAAAGTGCAAACTGTTCTTACCAAGTGGTGTCGATTGTGCTACATGCAACGAGGGGTACATCCTCATCAATACAGATTGTGTGAAATGTGACGAAAAGTGTCTGAGTTGTGTTGGAAACATTTCAAATTGTGTAAAATGCAATGTGAAAGGTGGGTATTACGAAGACGTCGAATTTACAACGATAGAAGATAAGAAATGTGTCACAATAACAACACTTGAAAATTGTGAATGGGTTTCAGAGTATGGGTGTGCTGTGTGTTACGATGGGTATTATCAAAACAAATATTACAAATGCTCAAAATGCAATGACTTATGTGCAACGTGTACAAACAATAACACATGTTCGACATGTGTAGATCAATACGTTTTGATATCCAAAACTTCGCAATGTGTGAAATGGAATTCAATTGTAAATTGTAAATCATATGATTCAAAAACTCAGAAATGCAGTGAATGCAATGGAAGCAACAAAGTTGGACCAAATGGAGACGAGTGTGTCCACAAGACAAATGTACTCTCAATTATACTTCCAATCATCTTTTGTATTTTAATGGTTGTTATTATCATTATAACAATAAGTTGTATACTTTTCTACATCCATTACAGAAAAGAAGAGAAGTTGAAGAAGTCACTTGTGAATGAATTTTTGTTGAAAGATTTAAAAAAGAAAGGAGTTGAGATGGTATATCTTGGTACTCAAAAAGAACGCATTTTGTGTTCAACACAAGAAATACATTTTGAAAACGAAATTGCAGTTCAAAAAGACAGCGACTGTAAATTTATGATTGGTAACGACAGAGCATCTCTTTTAAAAATTCAATTCATAACACAAAACGACGAAGAAAAATTTGAGTTGAATGTTGGACCTTCCATCCCAGTGTGTATCAAGAAAGGTCGTGCTGTTGAATTTACAGTGACTGTTCATCCGCTGTGTACACTTGAGAAGACTGTTGACATCACTTGTTCAGTCTTAAACATCAACAAAGGCAAAATTTCAGAGATTAAAATCCCAGTCAAATTTGCGTCGGAAATGTCGACAGCACTTGACCCGGACGAGTTGAAGAAAGAGCGAAAACTTGGAGAAGGAAGTTTTGGGATTGTGTACAAAGGAACATATCGAGGAAACGTTGTTGCCATCAAAGAAATGAAGGAAATGGTTGTCGCAAAATTAGGAGCAAAAGGTTTTACAATGAATTCAACCGTTGAAAGTTCAAGTCGAAATTTGACAAAGAACGCAACAAAAAATATCCCTAAAAATAACACGACTAACAACTCTTCGATGACAACAAGAGACAAAACAGCGGCTGAGAAACAGATGGATAAAAAGATGGACGAATTCAGAAAGGAAGTTGCGATGTTGGCCAAGTTTGTGAGTCCATACGTCATAAGATTCTATGGTGCGTGTTTCATACCAAATCGGATATGTATGGTCACTGAATTGGCCAAGTATGGCAGTCTGCAAGACCTGATGAAACATAAAAAGTCTGACGAAGTTATCATGAAAATGCGAATTAAACTGATGTTGGACACTGCCAAGGGAATTCAGTATTTACACGCAAATAACACTCTTCATAGAGACATCAAGTCAGACAACACACTTGTAACTTCACTTGATTTTAACGACGAAGTCAATGGGAAATGACTGATTTTGGAGCGTCGAGAATGTTAACAGTCTGTGTGATAACATGATGTATACAAAGGGTATTGGAACACCAAAGTACATGGCACCTGAAATCACAAATGTTGAAAAGTATACACTTTCAGCAGACGTGTATTCATTTGCAATTACCGTTTTGGAGTGTTTGACATGGAAAGACCCGTTCGATGAAAAGCTGTTTCCATACAGTTGGGATATCACAAATTTGATTTCCAGAGGAGAACGACCAGCAATTGAATTGGAAGATGGAGAACAGAAAGGTTTAATTGAAGAGATGTGGAAACAAGACCCCAGAGAAAGACCTGATATGGATAGTGTCGTAGATAAACTCAACAAAATATATCAAACAAATAATTGAATGGTGGTGATTTTCAAATTAAATTATTATTAAACTTTACTATACTGGAAATTGTAGTTGGAGTTTGCAGAAAAAAGTACAGCTTTTTCCTGCTAACTTGTTTATATGAAAAAGTTATTTATTCTATTTTTAATGATTATTTAACTATAAATTATAATATATTTATGAGTATCCTAATCATAAATATATTTGTTGTTTATAATTTAAAATATAATTTCTATACTATATTCCAATTAATTGCTTTCTAACTAAATATAATTAGTTTAATTAAATTATTTAAGATACAAAAATACTTAAACAAATATAGTTAAATATTATAATATTACTAATAATTAAAAAAGAATAACATTGTAATTTGAATCTAGTTTTTTTATACTTCTAATTCAAAACTAATGATGAAAGGATATATAACAACAAGAGGACTGTCTTACAAACTCCCACGAATACCCGTCGAATGTCGCCATTTACAAATAAACAGTGAACAGGAAGATCTGACCAATTATAAACCCACTTCAATGGAGATATCATATCGATTACCCCTCCCCGACTCCCGAACTTATGGCGTGAATGTTGACATGTGTCTTCCTGAAGTTTACTTTACCCCACATGTTCAAGACTTTGGTTGTTTTCCACAAGACACAGAATTGTTTGGCTTTGACAAAAAGTTTGTTCTAAAATACAAGTTAAGGATATAATTGACACTTAGAGCCGTTTCATCAACACCACAACAACAAGAAATACCAGCGAAAGAAGACACATCTTTTTTTAGTTTAAATATGTTTGTAATATTGATGTATTTACCTTATAATTAAAGTCACAACACAGGTCCGCCAAAGAACAACTCAATGTAATCAAAAACTCGATGAAGCCCACGACTTCCACTGCCGTTAAAAAGGAGGAGTTTCTTGTCCCTATTCTCCTCCAACAAGCATCAGAGATTCCTTCAAAGTGATTTGTATAATTGAGACGTATCTTTAGTTTGAATCCCTCAAAGTGTTTTCAGTTCGATCCATTATTCGTTCAATTGATATTTAATAATTCCAAAATTAAAAATAAACTATTTAATAGCGAACAAAATCGACTTTTTTCTTCGAAATAAAACTGGAAATATCAATGGAGGCACCAGACCCAATCCAACCTAAAGTTTACAAATTTGCAGAAAAGCTATACAGTTTTTCGGAACACGCAGAGAAGAAAAAGGTAAGAACATTGCTCCCCACTATGATGTCTAGCTCTCAGAAAGTCCCTGACACTCCCATGAACGAGCCAAAAAACATTGGAAATGTGCATGACTATTCCCAAGCTGAAAGAGACATTCCCGAACTTTACACAGTAAAACCAGTAAACAAAGAAGTCTCGATTTTCACTAAATTTGCGGAAACTACCGGTGGCGAGGTGACTAAAGAGAAAACTGATATCTTCGAGGAAATCATGCAAAACGAGTTTGGAGATGTTTGTTAAACTATAAATGTGTTATAGAACAACTATTATTACGAGTTTTGTGGTAGTCATATAAAGACAAACTGACAGACAGACTATGGTGGACCACCCCCTCGACATGTCATCGAAAGGTACATTTGACATCATTCTTAAATTCTGCAAAAAGACGAACGACCCTGCAAAGGAAAAGGAGAAGCAATTAGATTTTCCATATGCACGAGACAGAGCAACGAATTACCGAGAAATAGTCGACACTATGATTATGAAAGAAATCGACCAAGAGAAGTTCACACTACTCGACTCGATTGCTAGTGTTAGCTCGTTACAAAACTCGTTTATGAAAATCAAAGAGGATATGTGCGCATTGTCGGAAAGACTGCATGCGACACAAGAGAATGTCCGATGGTTGATGACGGGGAACATGAAAGAATACCAGAAGTATCAAAACATTAGAAGTGTGATGGACAAAATGCACGCGATCAATGATGTTATTAAAATAGTGAGTGATGTTGATGATCTTGTAGAGGAAAAGGAATACAAAGAAGCAATCAATTTGATTAACAACGGACTTGATATCATCGATTGTAAGTTAGCCGGCATTAGATGTGTGAGCAAAGACGAATTATACTTGAAACAGACGAAAGCGCGACTGGAGAAGTTTTTAAAGAACCCCGAGAAATTTGTGTTTGAGCTCTTCACACGAATTCAGTTGATCGACGAAGTCATTTACAACATCAGTCGAAAGGACGTCAGAGAAGAATTCAAAGAACTTATCCCACAGATTGTGATGCTCTTCAAGAATGTTATCAGGTCGAACGGACAAGAAGATTTTGTTGAAAAGTACATCACAAGTATTGAAGGAGTCGAACACGAGCTGTGCTATGGATGCTTACCACTCGAATTTCTAAAGAAAGAGGAGTATTTAAATTTGATGATGACAAAGCAAAGCGACAGCGAACTTACTTTAGAGAAGAATGTCAACTTGAAGAAGTTTATCATGAAACTCAGTATCAACGAGTTCATGAGCTACTTTTTTAACATGATGAATAAATTGGAAGAGATCGTTGTGCGTGTAGAGATGGTGCAAGAGATATATGACGAAGTCAAAAAGAATGCGGGAGTGATTGGTATTGATACAGAAATGAACAAAGTGAAGGAGAGGGTTGAGGACATCATTGTCGAATACGCCATGCTGATGCTGAGTTACGCCAATTTGCGAAACTTGAAGAGGGATGAGTATCAACTTTTTGAGAAGAAGTACATTGCAATGATCGATGAATTACAAGGAGTTGTGAAAGGCACATTTAATAAAGTGAATAAGATTCGAACAACGTTCTTCCAGATGTACTTTAGTACGTTGTATATCTGTGGGTTTGACGATATGCTCAAATTCATTAAGATAGAACAATTTGTTGCGCTCACTGATTCGATGAATGTCATTGAACTTGTGAAAGGACTGACGCAATTGATCAATCCCAACGATGTTTCTTGTCGCACATTAAAAGTGAATGAACAGGTCATGAGATATCAAGGAGAGAATTACATGATCATAGCTTCATTGGATAACGTTTGTCTGTTTATAAGCTCGTTTTTGGAAGGGTTTTCGTTGAACGAAGGAGGAGTCAATGAGATGGTGTTTGAAAAGGCGAATCAAGTGTTTCGAGCGTGGGTGGAGAATATGAAGATGTATTACTTTGTCAATTTGATAGCGTCTGATGTACCAGACGATTATTGTTGGAGATGTATTTGTGTGCATCAGTCTGTCCAATTTCTTGTGAGGATGATGGAATTGTTGACAACTGGATTTGTTTGTTTTTTAATAATTAAATTCATGGTATTTAAAACTAGATGAAATCAAATGAGGAATTTACAATGATCCAAGACGACTTCGCAACAGAGATGAAAAGCATTCGGACACAAATAGTTCAATTCTTCCGACTTACTGTACGAAAATATATGTCATCGAAAGCTGAGGAGATGGAAGGAGTTTCTGTGGCGAAACCACTCCCTACGCCACCAAAAGGAAAAGACCCAAGAAAGAAACCACTTCCACCTTCACCTGTAGTGAAGAAGGGGAAGGAGTTGGGGAAGATCACTGATGTCTCTGAAAAGTTGAATAAAGACATCAACCTTCTTGTCAAGAAGTACTTCAGTGACGAGTTTCAAAAAGAAATTGTCGAAGAAGAGAGCCTTGCGTTGAAAGCAATTGAAGACGAATTTGTCGAAAGTTTGAAAGAACCGAATTTCCAGACAAAAGTTGTTTCGGATATTGAATTCTTGAAGGATGAGGTTGTGTTAAAGCTGGGCAAATAATTGAAATCGTAATTGTGTTATATATTATAGATATACAATAGAATATATTTGTATATAGAATTGTATATGATATACGCCATTTAATATAACACAAAAAGTTGTTCTTGAGGAACAAGCAAACTCGAAAAGAACTGAAAAAAAGAAAACAGTGGAAATGTCTGATAGACAAGTGCGGTTGAAGGCTCAAGTGTTCAAAAACGCTATAGAAGGCGGGAACACAAACAAAATCATCGACCAGATGCTGAGTAAAACAGTGATTAAACAAGACCAATTGACTATTTTAATTCACATGATGTCGAAAGATCCGACGCGACTTATGGCGTATTTAGCGAAAATCAAACTGGACGAGATGGGGTTGGACATAGAGAGGACTGTGTTTGAAATGGTCGAGGCCGGAATGATGAAAGAAGCGAAGGACTTTGCGTTTAAACACTCGAGTTCGAGTTATGTGAAACTTATGATAAGAAGCGCACTGAGCTGCTCTCCCGATGAGGCGATTCACACGTACGAGTCGATTATCAATTATATTAATACGTGCCCCCTTCCAGAAAAAGCGCAGTTATTTGTTAAGTTTGGGAAGTACATTGTGGAGTCGTTGTATGTGTATGCGATGACGGATAAATATTCTGCAAGCGCGTTAGTTGCTATCAAAAAGGTTCGTGTCATTCTTGTCTCGATCTTTTCAAACCCGAATTGCGCGAAATACAACCCCGAGGATTTTGTTGAGATTTTGGAGTCTGAAAAAGACCAACTGTTTTTGTTCTTAAAAGAAGTTCAAAAGTTTTCGAACAACGGGACTAAATTTAAAGTCAGTGATAAAGTCAAGGAATTGCTCCTCGAAAAGGAAATATGTGCCAAAAATGAAAAGCCTTCAAAGGCTACAATTGCTGCATTTCAGACGATTGAGAACAAACAATTGTATGACGTTAATGTGTTGTTTGAAAAGAAAGTGTTGGACGAAACAGTGACCGACCCCGACGTCAAAATGTTGTGTCTGTTGCAAGAGGGGAGTACTGAGAAAATCAATGAAGACGATCAGATGGATATCGAGTACTTACCCATTGTCAAAAAAGAGGAAGACCCAAAGAAAAAGTACGATGGCGTCGAAAATATAATAAAAGGACTTTTGAGAGGAGACCAAGTCCCACAACACCGGTCGGTATTGGTGTTTGATGAAATGAAAAGATTTGACATAACTAGCGATACATTACTTGAAAATGGGTTCAAAGAAAGTATGAAGAATGGCCTCTCGTTTATTACTCAAATACCTGAACTCCAAAGAGAGATCGAAAAGAACGGGCCACAGTTGAAAGACATGATGGTGATGAACCCTGAGAAGTGCAGTAAGTGCAATAACGAATTCAAAGATCTCCAGTCCGAATACCCAATTGCGACATTCATGTGTGGACACTCATTCCATATGAAAGAAGGATGTTTCCCGCCAAATGGAGTTTGTTCAATATGTAATGGAAATGGTCCATTGACCGAAAAAGAGTGCGATGAGAAATACAGAGACGCAATCAATGAAAAGGAGTTCAATGGATTCTTCGATTTGGTTAAGAGTGTACCAGTCTTGGTTCAACCAGACGATAATGGAGAAGAAAGTGAAGAAGAAGAAGAAGACAATATTAGGTATACTGAAAACACTGAAACGTTTGAAAACAGAGAAGACGAACAAATGGTTATGGACAACTCAATCAAAGCAGAAGAACTCAATTTGAACCCATACTTCTCAGCAAGTGGGTCGGAAATTGCAGCGAAAATGGACATTGTCTCTGCGTACACAAGCTCTGAATTTACTAATACAAAAGCTATGCAAGACCCGTTTTTTGGAGATGCATTCTAACTCTTTCATTGTTCTATTTTTAAAGCGTTATGTACTATAAGAATATAACTACAATATTATAATAAAACTGTGTTAGAACATAAATTTAGAACATACATTGTACAAAATATTGAAGCTAATTAGAGTCCTAACAGTCGACTCATCAAGACTGTATTCGGAGGGAACGAATAACTTATCGTTTGTGAATCTCTGATGTACAACACGATTTTTCCAAGTGAACGTACCTTTTTGATGTTCACCAATTTCTGCTTTTCATCAAAGAACGTTGGTAATTCACTGATTCGAGCTAAGTCCGCTAACCACAAATGAAGGACTGGTATCTTTGGGAACGGAGCTCTGTTGAAAGCTTCTCTACAACCTTTGTTGTTCATTTTCAGTGAAAAGAGTGTTTGGAGTGATGTGAATTGAGGCAATGTCTTAGACAATTTCTATATTTTAAGTAAAATGTGAAGTGCCCAAATCAAACATAGTAAAGTGTTAAATAAGAACAAACCGACTCTTCTTGTTGATTGATAACAACTTGTATTGAAGAGAACACTACATGCCCCATATTGTAATTATGAAGTTCAACGCATTCTGAAACGACATATATAAAGAACGTCATCGCTTCTTTTCTTTTTTCTGATGAATCCGCTTTTGAAAGTAAAAAAGCAACCATTTCGCCGATTTTACTAGTGTAAGAGGTATACTCACTTATACTTTGGCATTGTATTTTTCCAACAATAATTTCATTCATTTTGATTGCGCGTAATTTGGCTTGGTCCACAAGTGTGACTTGTCTTGCGAAATGTTGTGCAATGGTTTTCATAACTTCACCTTTCCCACTTTTACACGTTGTGTACTCATCAAACATATTAAAAAGCTCGGTAGTGGTTGTGAACATTTTGCACTGATTTTCTGTATGGAATCCAACATGTGGTGATGACATAGGCGATCGTGACTTTGCTCTTCCAAACAACGCATTGATCACAACTCGCTCTTGTTCATCAAATCCTTTGAACCTAAACACTCTTGATCGTTTAATCTTTTCAATAAGGAAAGGACATTCTCGAATTAAAGATTCTGCGTGCATTTCTATAAACGTTTTAAATAAGGTATAGAGTCTCCGCGAACACATGTTAATTTCAAGTGGGTCTCTGATATTAAAATTCAATTCTAAAGTCACTGCAATCGAATCCAATTGGTCTAAAAAGACCAACACGTCCATTATAAACACTGAAAAAATTGCGAAGTTTTCAACGAAATTTGTTTCGATCAGTGTTGTATTGAACATAAACTTAAACATTGTTTCTATGGAAGAAGCCATTAATAGCGTTTGTTCTGTTTCTTCGTCGTCAAAGAAAAGCGGCTCTGACGCGTCTGCATTAAAAATTGTACTGTTTTGCCTCATCAAATCAAGCAATTTATTAACTCCAGAAATGTTTTTCTCGACCGCAAAAGCAGAGAGGAGTGCATCTCGACACGCAAACAGAAGATTCTTGTCTGTCAATAATTTTAAAAGTTCGACCCACTTCTGCAAACACAGTCGGTGCGTTTTTTCTAAAGTCCAAACAAATATCCGGAGGGGTATAACACTGTCATTTGGATCGATAGATGGAATACACGATTCGTTCAAAACAAAGCGAATTCCAATTACTGAAATGCCTTTGATCAACATAACCAAAGCAGACTCTTGAGTGACTGGAACAGGCTCGCTTTGCCACGAAGATGAATAACTCAATTTTTGAATGTCCATTAAGTGTTTAAACTTCACTGGATCAGGGGTGCACTTGATTACAGTGAACAGTGTTAAATAAGAAAATGGAATTTGTGCAGTAGTTCCAACAATAGAGTTAAGAGAAATATCCGTCGTTGTTTGAGTCATCGTACGAGAAATGTCCTGAAGCTTTGGAGAAATTATTTTCATTTGCGGTTGAAACAATGCCATAGGATGATGTTCAAGTTCATATTGCTTAATAAAAGAAAAAAACACCAACTTTTCTTCGAATATATTTCAAACAAGAAATCGGTATTGACAACTTTGAAAAGAACAATATATTATAATTTTAATGTTACATGTTAATAGTAAAATAATTGTTATTGTTAAACAATTATTAGTATATTTATTAATTAACTTTTGTTTAGAAATTTTTTTTTAATTCATTTAATAAATAACAACAACCATTTTTTTGTCAAAAATTGCGGGAAGATTACTGAGTTAAAAAATCAACTCTGTTTTGGTTTGAAATGAAAATTTTTACAAATATTTTGTAATATTTTTTTTTCGAAAAATTTGGAGTATTTGAATTTTTCCTTAAAATTTTTCAAAAAAATCAAAATAATATTTAAAGTAGAGTGTAATTTATTTTTAACAATTATCACTTGCCATTAAAAATTAAGTTAATATTGGATTATTTAGTTTTATTTTCAACTTGAAACTTGAAATAAACACAGTTGAATATTTTGTTGAACTTATAATTTGTGATTATACTTTTATTATAATTAAAAAATAAATAAGAAATATAAAAGAATTATTATTTTATTAATTTGTCATTTTAACAAAAAAAGTAACTTATTTTACTAATAATTATGATAAACGTTATTTTATAATAACAAATAAATATGTTTTTTAATTTAAAATCTATATATTACACAATTTATAAATTCAAAAAATAAACTAAAAAGTATCAAAATATAATTACAGAAATTAAATAAAAATAATTATTAAAAGTTATTCAACCAAGATATTTCAAAACAAATTATAAATTATTTATTATTAAGTTTAAAAGTTATATTATAATAAATATATTATAATTTCAACTTTTTAAGGATTCAAATTGAAATTCTTTAAATTTTGACTAAAAAAGAACTTAATTATTTATCAAAATTATACTATAACAATTAATTAGAGAATAGTATTTGTTTTTTTTCAAATAACAATTAACAAAAATAAAAAAATAAATAAAAAAAACAAAAACTCAACTTCGAAACAAATTTTAATTATTAGTAAAACAACTATAACCGAACTTTTGATTTAATTAAAAAAAAGTTGGATTTAACAATTCATTAAAAAAACAAGAATTCAAAAAACACATAATGAGTAGACAAAATGATCACGAAGTGGTCGAAGTCAACGATGACGATACCGAATCTCAAGACGTCGAATTACTTGGTGTTTCCCAGAATATCCACAACAATTGCGAAAGTGTTCAAACCAGTTTGAATACTTTACGTGAACGTATTGACCAAGTCCAAAGCCAACTTTTGTATGACGTAGATAACATGGCAACTAATAACTTCACAGAATTATTGTCCGATTCTTCATCATATTTTATTGATGATAGGCCAAACATCTTCTCCGATTCGGAACTTTCCGACGACAGGTACGATTTCGATTTTTCCACGCGTTATAATCCATTCAGCATATTCCCGAACTTCATTCGACTCACCCAACCACTAACGTATTCCCCAACATACTTCATTGACGGTCTACACAGCTTTGGTCCAGACTTTTCACCACTCCAACACGCCGAACCAGAGGTTCGCACCGTCGAACAGATCCCCGACTGGATGAAACAACCAAAGAAAGAGACAAAGCCAAAAGAAAAGGTCGAAAAAGAGGAACGCAAAGACAAATCGAATGGACTTAAATGTGCGATATGTTGGGATGTGTCCGACGATGTCGTCACAACACAATGTGGTCACATCTTCTGTCGTGAGTGTATGATACACCTTTTTTCAAACAACGAATCAGTTCATTGTCCATATTGCAGAACACAACTTACCAAGAAAGATGTCCACAGACTCTTCGTCAACGAGTAAAACGATTTCTCTGTGAGTTCTTTCCTCTCAATCATTTGGTTTGTATCTTTATTGTTTGTATTTGGACAAGACCAACACTAAAAACCAACACTGTTATATAATAAAATTCAAATTTAAAAATTGTCAGGGTTGAATGGGGGAAGTACCGTCGAACCCGATGCGGATGTCGCAGCACTCGTCGCTTCTCTACTCCTCCCTTGACTTTGAGTCGACTTTTGCTGGTTATTTCTGTTCTTCGAATTCTCGATGTTCCTCCATTTGTCTTTCAAGTCGACACAACTCCTCCCGTCAAATTTGTAACTCCCAAGTATGTTCTTCCAGTGCCCGATACCATACTGTTTCACCCCATCAATCAAATTCTGCGTCTCCTCTTCACTAAAACGTCGTTTCTTCTTTTTCTGTTTGTGCTCGTCTTCGTCGCCAACTTTGGGCTTTGAAGTCTCGACAGCTTTGGACGTCGTCTTTGCCTTTTTGGGCTTTTCTTCTTTCTCGACTTTGACACGAGCGGGTGCTTGGTATGGGACTGTAGTGGCAGTAAAATCATTTGAGATGACTGGACGTGGCGGCATCTCAAGTCCCTGTAACTGCATTTGTGCGATGAAGTCTTTCACCTTCGGGTCCTCGCCAAGTACAATACTTTGAAATGTCTGTGGGTCCAAGTTCATCGCTGTTTGTATCTCTCTGACCGACACAAAGTCAGAGCACGGCCACGAAAAATTTCTCGAAACGACTTTCCCATCCAAGTAGTTGAAGAAAACGTCGCGAATTGCGGATTGCGTTGATTGTTCTTTATATTGGTACAAAAGTTGTTTGATGTGGTCTATAGTGCGATCTAAAGGATACCGTGACAACAAGTACTGTACTTCAGTGATTCCTTGTAAGTACTTTGTTGAGTCGACGTTATCTTCTTTTGGGGGAGCTTTCATGAGTGCCTCACAAGCTGTCAAGCAATACCTTCTTGATGTTGAAACAAAAGGTTGTTCGGAGGATGCGGGCAAGAGGATGTTAAGTTCGTTGAGAATATCAGTTGTTTGCATTTGACTATTTGCAAACATATGAAACACACAGATCATACCAACTATCCCAATAAGTGATGGGACAGTCTTTATAAGACCGGCATTTGCATCGGAACAGTAGATTTGAATGACAGAAGCAATCACCTTTGGTAAGTTATCGACCTCACAATAAGGCGGTTCGACACACTCGAAAAATTGCAACACAAAAGCCAGTGACCGTTTGTTGTGTAGAGCTTGTGACACGTCGCAGTCGAGGAATATTTGTTGGTTGATGCATTGTTCGTACAGGTCTGTCGTGACGCCTGTATCGACCAAGTACTCACAAATAGACAACAACATTTTTTTGTGATTATCGTACAAATTGAGGTCGGAAGCGTGCGGTTGTTTCATCAACTCTATCAAATGCCGTGTTGTTGGGCATTTGTCCTCGTTATAATTTGTACTCATCGCTCTGACTTTTTTAGTATTTTTGTTCAAACACTTTTTGTCTTTTTGAGCCATCTACGTTCTATTTTTATATCGGCTTGGAGCAATAAACCCTACCGAAATTTCCTAATTTTTCGGCTTTTATTTTAGTAAAATAGAAATTTTCTTTTTCTTTTAGGGTTCGACGGGTTACTTGTGAACGGCGATTTGGGCATTTCCTAATTGCTGACAAGAAAAATGACCAAAATAATGATACCAACAAACGCTGAGAGATGAGGATTCAATTGCCTAAGATATTATCTTAGAACAAAAGGCTCACTATGAGAACAGTATCACTTGGTTTAGTGAACTCTGCGTTTGTTTTACCATTTCAATAAATCAAATCAGAGAATTGAAACTCGAAAAGAGGGAATGGGAGACGAAGAAGAGCGACAAGCAAATATTGTCGCGGAAGCTCAGAGCGACACATCGACGGAGGATAGTGTAGACGAGCAACCCCTCCGCATCGAGACATTAAGTGCAACTGAGTTGGTTTCAGTCGCGACGTATTTTCAAGATGAAGAGGATTACATAGTGTTTTCTCTAATAAACAAGAAGTGTCTCCATGTCCTCGATCTGTTCACATTTAATCCCATATCAGAGACACAACTCTTTCCCAATGTTAAAGTCCAACACTATTATTCCGAACAAGACTATGTTCTTGATGGCGTCGATTCCTTTGTCATTTGTTACCCAGTCGCTTTAAACAAAGCAGTGCGCTTTAAAGAGAACAAAGTTGTTTGCACGCAAGTAATTTACACCAAAGAAGATGTTGCAATGTTTGGTGTCCATATCCCACGGTCGTTGTCCATCGCGTTGATTGGCGCATCTTGTTTTGAAAAAAATTATTCAGTTGATGTGATGATCCTTCCCGCAACGGTGAAGTCGATTGAGCAAGCCGCATTCTCACAATGCAAAAATTTGGAGTCCGTTGCATGTGGGACGTCATTGACTTCTCTTCGCGATGAATGTTTTTCGGGGTGCGAGTTGTTGGAACAAATTGGATTCCCTGTCGAGGGGTTGCGCGCAATAGGCGACGACTGTTTCTCCGAGTGCCACAGTCTCCGCAAAATACAATTTCCACGGACTTTAATTGCCATTGGCGATGGAGCCTTTTACGAGTGTGTTGAACTGACTTCATTAAGTTTCCCACCAAGTGTCGACTTCATTGGGCCCGGGTGCTTTGAGAAGTGTAGTCAGTTACAACGCGTCACACTCCCTAACAACATTTCTGCAATAACTAGCGACTGTTTTAGGGCTTGTTCCCTTCTCAATGATATTCAATTTCCAAGCTCATTATTAAGTGTTGGAGATAACGCTTTTGAAGACTGCGTGAGCTTAAAGCGACTTGATCTCAACTCGATTCGTAAGGTCGGTGTTGGTGCATTTAAGCGATGTTCAAGCCTTACAGAGGTTGTGATGACAACACACTTGATGCGATGTAAAATAGAGTGTTTCCTTGGGTGTGCGAGTCTGAAAAGTGTCGAGGTCCCATCAACACTAACTGCATTGCCAAAGTACTTCATGTCAGAATGTGTGAAACTCAGCGAGGTTGTCCTCCCTGAGACTGTTGTTAAAATCGGTGATTACTGCTTTGAGTTGTGCAAATCTCTCACCAAAGTTAACATCCCGCGTGATATTGAATCTTTTGGTGTTGGGTGTTTCAGCGGGTGCACCGCGCTTAACCAATAGACTATACGATTTAGTCTACCCTATCTATAATTCGATAATGGGTTTATTCAATTATGTTCTTCCGTCTTTTTTTTTCACCGCAATGTGCCCTACTATTTAAGGGTTGCTACTCTTAATTAGAAGTTTTTTTTCATGACCTCGGCACTTATTTTTGGTAAACATTTTTTTCTAAGCAATTTTTATTGGGCATTTTTAGAAATTCATTTCCTGAATATTTTGCCTTAAAAATTGAAATAAAATCTTCAAAAAGATTATAGCTTTTTTGCATTAATTAAAATTAACAAGTGTATATAACAATTAGTAAAACATAATTTTTACAAAAAAAATATTTAATTTATTTATTTTACTATTGTATATTATAATTTTTATCTTTCTATATAATATAATATAATTATCTATACAATATTATTGTTATTTTTATAATGATTTTTATAATTTATAATAATTTATAATAATCAGTTTTACTAAAAATATTTTGTTTTTGAGGTTTGAGGTTTGAGAATGTGATTTTGATTAGAATTACAATCAAACTTGATTATTTATAAAATGTCAATTGTGAAATTATTATTATTTATTATTAATACTATAATTATACTATAACAACGACAAGATTCAAAATCTCAATTAAAAACGAAATGACATTGAATCTTATATATGCAACACAAAAGAAAAACGCAACCGAAGCTGCGCATACGAGATGACGTCAGTGTTATCAATTCGACTGATCGTTATTTCTGTTTGTTGTTTCTTTTTTAAAAAATGAGATTTGACAAACAGACGAAAATGGACACGTCACTTCAAAGATCACTCACTTTCAAAAATTGAATAAACTGACTCTCCAATATCTTCAATTTGAAAATCTTGATGATTGTGGGCTTGGGACAATGCAATTGGAATATCTCGATTTATCAAACAACGTTTTGACAAACATTGATTGTTTAACACAAATAACTACTTTGACGTACCTTAATGTAGAAAACAACCAATTGACTCGACTCCCAAAACTTGTTTCTCTCAGTTCACTGAACATATCGAATAACCCAATCACAGACGACAAATCAATTTTTATGGACTTGAGGAACTTGACGAATTTGACTTCGTTATCTGTCAACCCATCGTCACTTAAACAAAAAGTCGACATTGTCAAGTTGTTTGACAATGTCACTACAGTACTTTCTTTGGAGACTAAGAAGAAGAGTTCCACAGACAAACATCTGCTGGATTCACACAAAGAATATCTCACAACAATTCTTTCTTCAAAAGACCCGGATGTGATGTATTGCTCACTTTACACACGTCTCCTTGTGTTACTTCTCCCACATTTAAAAGTGTTGAATACGTCAATATTAAATATGAGCGTGAAAAATGAAGTGAACGATTCAATTCAACGCGAGTTCAAATTCTATAAACCACAGAACGTTATTACTTCTATCAAAGAAAGAAAGTCAAACGGTATTTATTGTGTGAATCCACAACAAGGACCAACTTCACAATTCTCAGAAAGTGTGTTTCAACCCATTTTCACAACAATTAAAGACCCACGACAAATCGAATTTTCAAAACTCATCCCAGGCATCTCGTGCGTATCAACTCGCTCTGGCGAGTTGTTCTACAGCGAAAGATTTGGTAATTCTGTCGAACAGTTGAACACTGAATTCACAGACTTTTCATACTGCACATTTGGGCGAACACAAAGTACTTCGAAAATGTTAGTACGAGGTGGACGGGATGGGAGTCTCTCAATTTACAATTTGGACGTTCAAAAGAGTCCGATGAAGACATTGCACGACTTGGAAAATATCAACTCGCTTTGCATAAACGTCGACTCTTCAAACATAGTGACTTCGGGATATTTAAACAATATCTTTGTCTTCGACTTTACCACTGGTTGTTTACATCGTGTGATTGGTGGTGGACACTCTGATGACGTTAACGGCGTTAGTACGAGTTGGGTAGATCCCAATCTTTTCTCTTCAGCTTCCGACGACCACATGTCGAAGATATGGGATTTGCGTACAAATTGTCAAAACAGTGTTTTCAACTACGAAGGGGAGACTGCGCTTTACGGCGCAACGTTTGCGAAAGACAACATGAGTTTGATAATCAGTGGGGTTGACAATTACGTTGCAGATGTTGACATTCGGACTGGTAAAAGTGTTGCAATGAAACTTGAAAAGAGTTGGTGCACGAAAAATAAAACATGCGCAATAAACACACAAGACGGGGAGTATATAGTCTCTGTTTTTGGTGAAAATGTCGCGAACGTCTCGTTGAGAAGTAGTGGCTTGAAAATACTCGATTTAAACTTTCAATGCGATTTGTTATCTTCTTCAAGAAACGGTGGTTTAATTAACGTGAGAGAAGACCCTTGGAACGAGTATGAACTTTATTTCTCACACATCTGTAGAGATAATGAACAGAAATACTCGATGTTTAAGTGCTCAATGTTTGCTTAATGTTAACTTACTATACATTTTACTATATTTATAGTTTAATTGATTGTATATGTGGATTGT